TACTAAATTTGCAAAAGTGGGCATCAACTCGAGATACCTTACCATGCCGAAGATATACGGAGCATCTTCCCTTTGAAAATTAGGCCGCTGAATCATAAAAATGTAGGGTTGAGAGGGACCTTGAGAGGTCATCTTGTCCATTCCCTGGTGCTGAGGCTGGACCTAGTATACCTAGACCATAGCTGACAGGTGTTTGTCCAACCTGTTCTTAAAAACCTCCAACGAGGAGGATTCCATAACCTCCCTTGTAAGCCTGTTCCAGTGCTTAACTATCCTTATTAGGAAAAACTTTCTAACTGTATCTAACTTAAATCTCCCTTGTTACAGGTTCAGCTGATTACTTCTTGGGCTAATATCATTCCGGATATGGAGAACAATTGATCACTGTCCTCTTTTAACAGCCCTTAACATATTTGAAGACTGCTATCAGGTCCCCCCTCAGCCTTCTTTTCTCAAGACTAAATATGCCCAGTTTTTTTAAACTTTCCTCATAGGTTAGCTTTTCTAAAACATTTATTGTTTTTGTTGCTCCCCTCTGGACTCTCTCCAATTTGTCCACATCTTTTCTAAAGTGTGGCACCCAGAACTGGACACAGTACTCCAGCTGAGGCCTCACCAGCGCTGAGTGATCGGGACTATTACCTTATAACACTCCTGTTATTACATCCCACAATGATAGTAGCTCTTTTTGCAACTGCATCACATTGTTGACTCATTCAGTTTGTGATCCACTATGACCCCCAAATCCTTTTACTGCCTAGCCGGTTATTCCTCATTTTATAGTTGTGTGTGTGATTTTTTTCTTCCAAAGTGTCATGCTTTGCACTTGTCTTTATTGAATTTCAGCTTGATGATTTCAGACCTATTCTCCATTTTGTCAAGGTCATTTTGAATTCTAATCCTGTCCTCCAAACTGCTAGCAACACCTCCCAGTTTATGCCATCTGCAAATTTTATAAGCATGTTCTCCACTCCATTATCCAAGTCAATAATGAAAATATTGAATAGTACTGGACCCAAGACAAACTCCTGCAGGATCCCACTAGATATGCCCCCCCAATTTGATGGTGAATCATTGATAACTAATCTTTGAATAGGGTCTTTCAACCAGATTTGCACCCACTTTACAGTAATTTCATCTAGACCATATTTCCCTAGTTTGCTCATGATAAGATCATGTGGGACTTTATTTTTTAGTAGTAGTAGTACTATTTGTACTATGGTAGTGCCTAGGGGCCCCAGTAATAGACCAGGCCCCATAGTGATTGGTGCAATAAGGTGTCTCATGATGGGTACTGAAAAATTGAGGCACCAAAAATCATTAGACACTTTTGGAAATGTAGGCCATTATGCTAGTGGAAACAGGGTCACCTAGTCAGATGGCTGCATAACTCATCTTTAAAAAAAATTTAAATAAAACCCCAAACATTTCAGCTAATCAGAAATTTATTAATAAACTGCAGCCAATATAATGTGCTTTTAAGATAGTTACTTTTATGACAAAACTGGTCTCCATTAGGCTATAGCACACACTAGGGCTTTTCTAGACCAACGGGAATGCAGTAATTCAATAATGCTACCATACATAACTGCCACATTAGTGCGTTAACATTCATCTGACAAAGTGATTTAATATACCTAAGTCATGTGATATGATAGAAATAAAGTCATTGTACTGGAACATTGATCCTGTAACAACATCTCGTGTCCTGAAAATGAATTCCTCAGCACTTATGTAGCAGGACAAACCCCATCCTTTGATAGTGTTCTGTTCCAGTTAAATGCTCTCTTAAGCCCACTTCTAAAATAATAATATAATAATATGGAGATATACCTATCTCATAGTACTGGAAGGGACCCCAAAAGGTTATTGAGTCCAGCCCCCTGCCTTCATTAGCAGGACCAAGTACTGATTTTGCCCCAGATCCCTAAATGGCCCCCTCACGGATTGAACTCACAACCCTGGGTTTAGCAAGCCAATGCTCAAACCACTGAGCTATCCCTCCCCCCATAATACTGCACCATTAAGATTTACAAGAAAGAACACATAATTCTTGGCCCTAATCCTGCAACCAAAGAAGTCAATGGGAGTTTAGCCCATTGGCGCACGTTTGGACCTTAGAAGATGTACTCATATTATAAACTCTTACTCTGAGTAAACTACCAACTTCAGAAAAAGGTGAATTTAAGATGATCTATTCTTTACAGTGTGAACCCAGTCCAACACTGAGATCTGCTAGTGTGGACCCAAACCGCCAAAAAAGGCCCCATTGACTTTAATGAGACTCCATATTGGGATAAGGATCCACACTAGCAGATCGCAGTAAAGAATTGGGACCTATGGTTGAAACTGTGCTAGCAACAATCATAGTTTTAACCACAGTGTTTTGTGGGCATGGCCACATAGTCCATAAGAAACTGGAATGGTCTCACAAGACAAGTGGTAGAAAACACATCACTGAGTCATTTAAAATTAGACTTGACAAAACCCTAGAAAACTGTCTAATAGATAAAACCCTGCACTGACAGAGGACAGTCAATATGACCAAGCAAGTTTACAAAAAATAAGTGACACAGTATTTGCACCCCAAAATTCTACATTAACAAGTTCCAGACATTGGTTATGCATAGTAGATTTCACACCGTTCTTTCCTGAACTTAAAAAACCCCCTCCAAACTAGTGTATGGTAGGATCCAGATTATCTGTATCACTGGATTCAAGAGCAAGTGTGTCAAAAAAAATAGGGAGACATACCGGCAATTTATTAGGAAAATGTGGGTAATCAAGATCCTACTGTACTGGACAAAAGGTTCACCGCAAAGATCATTTAATATCAAAAATAGTGCTGAAAGATGATTACTCTGATGTCCTACAATGGATTTAAAAGGCCAACTGTATTTTTTTAAATATAAAAATTAAAAAATTGCTTAATCAGCCAAATTCAGCTGTAAGTTAAACTGATGTAAATTTGGAGTAACTGCACTGCGTTCATAGATTTATAGATTCCACAACCAAAAGGGACGCTGGATCATCTAGGCTGACTTCAAATATAATACAGGCCATAGAACTTCCCCAAAATAATTCCTACAGCATACCTTTTAGAAAAACATCCAATCCAAAATTGTCAGTGGTGGTAAACCTACTACAACCTTTGGTAAATTGTTCCAGTGGTTAATTACTCTCACCTTTAAAAATGTAAGCCTTATTTGCACTCTGAGTTTGTCTCGGTTCAACTTCCAGACAGTATCGTGTTATACAGTTCTTTGCTAGATTAAAGAGCCCATTATGAACTATTTATTGCCCATGTAGCTACTTATAGACAGTAACCAGGTCACCCCTTAACCTTCTCTTTGTTAAACTAAATAGATTGAGCTCCTTGAGGCTATCACTATAAGGCATGTTTTCTAATCTTTTAATCATTTTTGTGGCTCTTCTCTGAACCCTCTCCAATTTATCAACATCCTTCTTGAATTGTGGACACCAGAACAGGACACAGTATTCCAGCAGTGGATGCACCAGCGCCAAATACAGAGGTAAAATATCCTCTCTAGTCCTACTTGAGATTTTCCTGTTTACGCACACCAGGACTGCATTAGCTCTTTTGGCCACAGGGTCATGTTTTGGACACACTGGAAGCTTGAGGTCAGCAGATTATTTCTCACGACACCCAAATCTTTTTCAGAGTCACTGCTTCCCAGGATAGAGTCTCCTATTATGTGTGTGGCCTGCATTCCTATAAGTGTGGCCTGTATTCTTTGTTCCTAGATGTAAACGTTTGCTTGCACCCAGTTTACCAAGCAATCCAGATCGCTCTGAATCAGTGACCTGTCCTCTTAATTATTTACCAAATAGAATTGCTCCTGGTTCAAACTAGTGTAACAGAGCAGAATTTGAAACAGTGTATCTTAATGTTAGGGTTCTCTTTTGGAACACAGTTGGACAATTGAAAGTCATTGCTATAGAAACTATAATGAACATAAAAAGAACAGGAGTACTTGTGGCACCTTAGAGACTAACAAATTAGATGCATCCGAAGAAGTGGGCTGTAGTCCACGAAAGCTTATGCTCTAATAAATTTGTTAGTCTCTAAGGTGCCACAAGTACTCCTGTTCTTTTTGCGGATACAGACTAACACGGCTGCTACTCTGAAACCTATAATGAACATAATTGAACACAAACCATTCCATTCATCCCTGGGAAGAAACCATAAAAACTGTCAATGTTCTAACATACATTTAGCATTGTGGGCTTTCTATTTTGAACACTAACAGGCTTTTTTTCAAAAATCCCTTTTGCTGTTTTGATCACACATGGTGGGAGATTAAAGTATTTTCCTGGTTGATTACATTACATTTTGCTTCTGGGCACTTGATTTTTAATACCTTCAAGATATGCATGCTATTTGGTGACTTTCTTAATAGTCTTCACTATTAAGAACAAAGCCGTGACTAAAACTGTAAATTCATTAGGACTAGTGACGTTCTTCTCACTGGCAGTCACATAGACATGACTAAATTGATAATAGAAGTTGTTTTATTCTTTAAGGGTTCTGTGTGTTTTGACCTCTTGTAGTTTTAACTCTAACATAACCAATAAAAATACCTTAACTGAAAGCAAAAAGAAAATTTGCTTGGTTTTACAATCTTTCCAATATCAGCCTGCTGTACATCCAAAAGAGAACAAGAACAATCTAGTTTGGTGAATGTCTAGTATTTTGCTGGTAAAAGGGGTCACATAAATAACATCCCCTCAAATGTCTGAAATATTAAAGAATAGTTGATATATCAAATAAAAAAGCACAATCAACTAAATAATTTCTGTAGTGCAAAAATTGATCTGCTGCATTGCTATTAATAGCACAAAAAACTTTCAGCCAGCTTCCTACTTGCCTAAGGTCATTCCCCCTGTGTAATCCCTTACCAGGTGCTGCAGAAAAATTGGCTGTGCTGGTCTACTTATTTATTTTTCAAATAAGCAAGATTTTGTTCAAAGTGATTTACCTGCAGTGTCATACAAATTCAGAATTACTTCTTTATTGCCAACGGTAATACTGGTGGTATACTTCTCAAATACAGAAGGTGCATATTTCTGTCAAAAAAAAGGAAATACAACTCTAGTTAAATGATAACACTATTTTGCAGTTCAGTAATCCCTTCCCTTCAGGGATCTCAAAGCACTTTATAAGCATGAATGAATTAAGCCTTACAGGAACTCTGGTAGCCAGATATTATCCCCATTTTACTGATGGGGAAGGTGAAGCAGACAGGTTAAAATGACTTGTCCACTTTCAGGTGGCAAAGAGCAGAAGGGCTAGAAACAGCACTGACATCTCCTGTAGGCTATGTTCCCATATATTTGGTGTATGTACTCTAACAACAAGTTTTAATTCTCTGAAATGCAATTATACAAAGAGAAAGGAATGATTCAGCTGTTACAGGTTTCAAGCTTTATTTGAACCTCACCACCAATATTCTAGGTACAGCTGTTTTCTGAGCCGGATACCCGGTATTCTCCCTCCTAAACCTTTTGTGTTACCAGAAAGCCCCAACCATATCTTCACATTACAGGTTTCAATACAGAGACTTCTCTGAAAATAAGGCTGTTTACAAATGCCTAGAGGAAAAGTCATTCTTGAACTTAAAAAAATGAAGGCACAACGGGCAAGATAAGGGTCTAAAACCAACTCTCAAATTTACTCAGAAGAGCTCAGCCACCGCCTGGCAGTTGCTTCTCTCAGGCAGGTACAAACCAGTCGCCTGCACATCCTGCCACGACTTGGTTTAGCGATGAGTTGAACAGCCTCCAGAAAGCCCCCACCCCGCTTCCTGGAAACCCCCTTCGCCCCATGACAAACCTTCCCAGCCTGCTGCTAGCGCCAGCAGCACGCACCTCTGCCTCGTCTAGTGCGGAGCCCGGCGCGGCCCGGCACCTGCTGTCGCTCTTGCAGCTCTGGCCAGCGAGGAACAACTTCTAGGGCATGAATGTCCCCTCACCTCGCTGGCCTCCGGGAAAGAGCTCAGCAAATGAGCCCCCGGGGGGGGGGGAGCCCGGCCCGGCTGCTCGGGGCAGCCCAGCGCCCAGGGGCGGGCTAGGCTCGTCCTCTTTGGGGTAATCCTGGTGGAGGTGGGCAGAGGGTGCAGGGGGGGCTCCTGGAGATGCCAGCGGGCTGCCCCCTGCTGGGGCGGGAGGGCTGCCGGGCAGGGGCGCCTCAGGGAGGGGCAGGATGGGGGTCAGGCCCCGGCACTCACCTCCGGGAAGGCTCCCTTCGCGTACACCATGAGCAGAGACGTTTTCCCGCAGCCTCCATCCCCCACGATCACGATCTTCAGCTCCTTCTTGCCGGAGGGGGCGGGCGGGCTCTCGCTCTTCTTGGGGTCCCCGGGCTCCCCGCCGGGGACGGACCCGTTCGGCACCGCCATGGGCGGGGGGATGCTCCCGGCTCTAGAGCAGCAGCCGCCCTGCGGGAGCAGGCGGCATCTCTGTCAGCTCGGCTCCCTGTGCGGCCGGGGGTCGCTGCTCTCCGGGCTGAGGAGGGCGGGGAAGGGGCCGAGCTGCCCCGCTCCCGGCTCCGTCGGGGATTGGCTGAGGGGAACTCGCTCGGCTCGAGCCGCCTGCGCCAGCCGCAGCAGCCCCGGCTCGGCTCGGCTCCGCTCCCCGGAGGTGCCCCACACACCGCAAAGCCGGACCCCGCCCCGCGGTGGCGCCATTGCCCGTAAACCCGGCTCCGCCTCACGGCCCGTAGGCAGACGTCGCTACGGGAGCCTTCAGTGCAGCCACTGAGACCCCCCCCACACACACACACACCCTCACACACGGGCCC